TCAGCGTACCCGAGGAACGTGCACTTGAAGCTCTTGAGTTCCAGCTTCGTTCTCATCACGTCGTCCACATGAGCGTACCCTTGTGACCCAAAAACACGTAGGTGTTCCCATCCGTGGCTTCACCTGGAACGACAGCTCGTACGGCGTGACATCAGAGTTTGATGTGTTCGTGGAACGGTTGATGAGATACACTGCAGTACTAACCGCTTCCGCCCACCACTGCGTCGACATAGACTTGTAGTGCAGCATGCTTCTTGCCTTCTCCATGATGGTACGGTTCATGCGTTCCGCCACTCCATTCTGCTGAGGGCTGTATGGAACGCTACGCTGATGCACGATACCGTTCCGTTTGCATAGTTCCAAAACTGTCTTGTTCACGAACTCCGTTCCATTATCGGAACGAAGACATTTTAGACGTTCCCCCCACTGGGTTTCGTACAATGCCTTGAACTCCTTCAGTTTGCTGCCCACCTCGCTCTTGCTCTTCATAAAGTACGCAACGACAAACCTTGAGTAGTCGTCTACGAACGTCAGAACATATTTGGCACCACCCTTTGAGATCGTTCTCATTGGGCCCATTACGTCCGTGTGTACTAGTTCCAACACACGCGTCGTTCTCGTTAGCGATCGTGACGGGAACGTCGTCACGGTCTGCTTTCCCTTCATACATCCACCGCACAAAGTCTCGTTCTCATTTTTCACATGTGGGATACCAATTGTGGAACGTTGAGTCTTCGTCAGCGCGTCCTTGTTGAGGTGACCCATGCGAGCGTGCCAAAGCTCCCACTCGCTGTCAGGACCGGCGTATTGCACGAAGTGTGCCTCCTCCTGCTGACAGTCCAGCAGGAACGCCTTACCGACCTTCTTCCCTGACGCTATCGCAGCGTTCCGTCCCCAAATTACACAACTGGAACGCTGGAACTCCACGCTCATGCCTCGTTCCGCGAGCTTCCCGACCGACAATAACCGTCTATCGAGCCCCGGAATGTGGAGCACGTCCACCATTCGGATGCGTTTACCGTCCAAACCAGTCAACTTGACCGTTCCAGTTCCTGCGACGCGCAGCTTCTTGCCATCTGCAATCGTCACGTTGATGCCACTGTCTAGTGCCTCGTACCCAAATAGGTCGTTCCGGTGAGGGGTCATGTGCGACGTCGCACCACTATCAATCAGCCACCCGGCCGAGCGTTCCCCACCAACGGCAAACACTGCATCGTCTTGACTGCTTTTCTTTGCAGCAGGACAGTCCCGCTTCATGTGACCCACTTGGTCACAGTTGAAACACTTGCCCTTGAAACCAACGTTCCGTTTCGGACCGTTCCATTTTCGATCGTTCCATTTTTGACCGTTCCCTTGGCCGTTCCGGAACTTGCCTGCGTTCCCATTCACTTGGAACGCCTTCTCCATGGTTTCCTTCTTCTCGAGTCGCTCGTA